GGGGGGTGATTTCATGGGGGTTTCTGTGCTCGTGCGTAATTATTTATATGCGGTACATATATACATTTATACATTTATATGTATATATATACACAGGGGGATGCACGAGTTTTTTTGTCAATATACGAGTCAAAAGAAGATGAAAAAATGAAATGGAAATCTGAAATATGAAGACAAAGACAAAATATCCCCCGTATAGCCTAAACCGACAATTGGGGCAAGTGCTGTTAGCGAGCACCTAATTCAGGTCGCCACGGCACAGAAGGGGGTGGGTGACCAACACCACGCCCGACCACCTTTGTCTCCCCAGTGCTAATATTTACACACCACAGCATGTACTCATTTAGGGCTGAGTCGACCTCGGCGAGACCCGGAACCAAGAAACTGATTCCGATATTCGTCACAGTTGTTGGTCGAGAGTTGCTAGCGAAATGTGCTCACCACTGCGCCACCACTCCCCGTGTACAGTGCAGTATACATACCAAATTTTGATTTAAAGCTTTCGTTACTGCAGGGATTCATATTCTTGGTTCTTTCAGTTAAGTCACGTGGAAGGGAAAAAATAGAAAAAATAAAAATAAAATATGTCTCGGGACACGCAGTGGGATTGCTGCACTAGTATGATGGTAAGCGCGGTGGATTTGCAATGCAGAGGTCTCTGGCGAGCTGTGTCGTCCAGGGTCTTGTTATGAACCCCACAAACCTCATCGAGCACCCGGTGCCTCTCTGTGGACCGAGCATTAAAAAATGGCATTTTATGGCATTACGGTAATTTTAGTTGGACTCGGAAAGGCATGAGCAATGTTAAAAATACAATAAAAATTGGCATAGCGTCATAGAAATGTGGTTACAAATGTGGCTCACTTTAACCCAGCTCTTAATTGTAATCAAAACACGATTCGTCATTTTTTCTTAAGAGTCACAGGTTAGTGCCCATCAGCCAGGATTGGAAATTCCACATTCCTATGGTGGGGTTAGGTAGGCAGTGATAGATAAGTCAGTCTTGGGCATCCCCTTCATCAACCTGCACTGACCAGTGTGGTGAAGTATGACTCAAACAAACCCCCGTGAATGACACGGCATAGCGAGTCCTCATCCAAGCAGTGGACTGACACTGGGCTATAAATGGTTATTGCTATTATTAATATTCTCCGTAATATCACAGGGATAATGATTGGTAGTTAAGCGTTCTGCACTACAGGGGCCACCCGGGACAGTTTTTTTTTTGTCTCGAGAAAGAGAAAAAGAGGCGTTAAACAATGCAGCTAAACGTTAAACTATTATACCGCAATAGCAGAAACAAATAATTTGAACAACGTCCGCCAATTACAATTTGAACGCCCTCAAAAGTAGGAATCTTGAGCGGCAACGCTCCAGAGACCGGCTTGCAAAGTGACATCGCCGGCGTGACAAATTTTTTTCTCTCCAAACAAAAAAAACCCCACAGCCGGATTACTCTGCAGCCTGCCAATTCGGGATAATTGCATCCATTTGTGTGGCCGGGCAGCTGTTGGTGCTGATTGCCGAGGCTTTGAAGGAACTCATAATTTTCACTCTCAATTTGAGCACCACAAATCTTTAGTAACACGACACCACCTTGGTACATTCGCTTCCTCAGCGGAAGTCACGGCTGCCTCGTGATCGCAAGGCGAAGATTAGGGTCCCGCAGTGCCGAGTGCTATTGGTGGCTCTGAGCCAGTGGTACAAATTCCACATTACTCTGACGGGGGAGGGGAGGGGTGGGCGAGATTTCTCACGGAGCCCACCGCTGACATCCCGCAAAGTGGCGTTGCTGTACTGGCACTGGGTATATTCTGCAGGTAGATTAGATAGATATTGATAGATATTGATAGCAATTGATAGATATTGATAGCTATTCTGTCGATAAGTTCTGCAGATAGATTCTGCAGATAGAAAGATTCTGCAGTTGATGGTGCTGCTCAAGATTAATGATGAAGATCACGATCATTGGAGAAGATATGAACTTGACCTTTGACCTTTGACCTTTGCACTCGCAGTCGAGGGAACATTGCACAGATATAAACACGTTGTGCTTGCGTGTGCATAGTTACTTAAGTACATCTTCATTCTTGTATTGCATATGTTTACGTTCCATTTCCAGAAACTATTCACACACTAAATAACACTTCTGATCCTAATATTTGTATTATTATTATCGCGTAAGCATTTCGCCGAGTTGTTGGGGTTGAATCTGGGTATCAGCCACCGATGATTGAACCAAGTTCCAAGTGCGGTGAGTTGATGGTTTTGATGAGGTTCGGTCGACAAAAACCACCCTAGTCGGGCGTGTGTGAGCAATTAAAACACGTTTAGCTCGATTGTGTCATGGTGGAGCGCCATCAGTGTTGGGTCAGAGAAGCAGATTGAAGTGACTTGGAAGTCGATCCTTGACATCTTCTTCTGGGGGGTTGCTCTATGAATTGGTGCGAAGCTTCACCGCTTGCCATTCACAATTGCGGACGGGGAATTTCACCACTGTTACGTAACACGAGCGCCTACTTAATTTATAGTTTCGGAGGGTTTAGGTCGCAACTTGTTTTGAAATGAGAGCGGATGTTTGCGATACACAAGCCGAATGTAACATGGAAGAAGAAAAAAAACGAGTTCACAAATCGTAAAAAAATATTAAATTCCCCATCATAACAAGTGTAAATTATCAACCGAACAGTATACAGCTCAACCTTTTAAAGTTGTCCACGGTAAACAGAATATTTTGAAGCGGCGCAATTTGTTTGAAATAGTCTCCGCGGAATATTCATAGAGCCATTTCATTTACAGCGCGATCATCAGAGTGCTTTCGAAGAGCAATATCAAGCACAGGCAGTGGATGTCTGTTTTATTTACTCTCACGCATTCGCCACGTTATTAATACTTCATAAATATTGCATCCCACAATAAGAACACCCAACATCACACATACGTGCTACGAAATTGGCTAAACATCAAAGCCACCCTTGCACTGCTTAAACGTAGTCCCGAGACTTATCAAGATAATTTATAATAAAAATGTACAGCCCATTGTCAATCCACTGCTGGATGAGTGCCGTCCCATGTCGTCTGCGTGGCGGTAACGTTTCAAGCCATGGCTCTTCCTCCCATGATTTATGCCTCCTGAAGAAGGGTCATTGCCTGAAACGTCGCCTCTGATATCATTTATTAAGGACACATTGTTCACGACGAACGCGCCGAGCTCTTATGCGTGTTGGCCGCCCATCCAATCACCACCCAGGCTCAAAATCCCTGCCAAGCTTGCGAGACCGGGCGTGTGCCGGGTGATTTGATCGCAGGCGACGGCAGTGGACGAGGTGACGGTGGCCGTCGTGTAGGCCCCAACGGACCCGCACGGCGTGGGGAAGTGATCATCCAGCAGTCGATTGACAAATTCGCCTACAACACGTGATTCGCTTACTGAAATTAAGTCGGGTGGAGCTGTGGAAAACTAAAACTATTGAACGTTGTTTTTATTTCACCAGATAATGTATCTTGCACTTATTTCACACCGTACGTAGCCGACCGTACTAATCGGAGGTGCGGGGGAAGGACAACAAACTAAGCACGGAAATCAGTTCTGAAGAACTTAGTTAAGGTGAAGCCCAATGAGCTACATAGCTCTCTTTCAGAAACGACCTGGTCACAAACGATAGCTCAGCGAAGTGGCATATCAAGTGGAAATCTATATCAGGCAAATACTCGAAACGCATGTTTCTAAATGTGGAGGGAAAAACCAGAGGACTCAGAGAAAAATGAACACGAGCACAGGGTGAACATGCAAACTCCAAATATACAGCAGGCGTCAGGGTCAGGATCGAACCCACGACCTCCTGCATACCAGGCGAGGTAGTTAACATCTCCTAGCCACCGTGGTGATGATGAGAGAGACACGCAGATGCGATGCCGTCAGTCTCAAGACATCGAAATCTGTGATTGAAACCCATTCGCACTGCATCTGCAGCTGTTACGGCTGGAGTACATTCGTTACGAACCGGTGGTGTGCACCATTTACGTGGTTGACTGGGTACATGCATGCACGCATTGTATGTTGTGGGATTGTAAAATGTGTGTGTTCTTGCCACGTGCGTGCTCAGTCATTACCGCAGACACCTTTTGGAAACGAGATGCTCCATCTCAAGGGAATTCTCCAGGTGGAATATCTCAGTAAATTTAAATGAAGTACATAATTAATGTTTGGGCTTAGGCCAAGTAATGATTTGTCAAAATATGTGTTGAAAGACCCTCCACCACCCGAAATTGCCAAAAAAACCTGTCACATTTGCAAGCGTTTAACAACACGCCAATTGTCAGTGTTCTATCCCACCGGTGAATTGAAGAACAATTCTCACGGCAACAGTTAGCAGCAATTAGATACCACGTTCCACTTGAAACTGCGCCAAGCATCATCAGGAAAATCCAGGAAGTTAGAAAGAGAAGTCAGAATAATCACGCCATCTGACCCGGCTTCTTAAACGAGTGTCATTATGATTCTTATACCATTGGCTGCCAAAATCTACGCGTTTGACATAAATATATTTAGTCCTCGCTTAAAACGCGCGGTATTCACACAACGTGTCTTTGCTATAACGCGGTTCTTACATTGGGGAACACTTCGCACAACGCGCACCGTTACCACGTCGGGACGCGTTACGCGAGGACTTACTGCTGTTTGTGTTTTAAATCGCCGCTGTGTGTGCGCTTAGCGAGTCGCGCTACGAACCCGGCGACCCCGAGTCAAAGTGTCGCTCACGGCCACCAACACCAGTCACGATTATCCGAAACGGTCCTGGGCCTCCCCTAGGTCGACTCAGAGTCAAACGAGTACCTGGCGCTGCGGCGTGTAAACATCGCCACTCAGGAGACAAATGCGGCCGGGCGCGGTGCTGGCCACCCACCCCGCCGCGTGCCGCACACTCACAAGCGAGCACCTCGCACCCACGGTCAAGTCCCCAGGCTGATCTGTGTCTGTGTCTTTGTTGTTCTCGCAGGCGAGCCGGTGGATCTGCTGAAATCCCTCGACTTCGAGAATCTCCCCGAGGGAATTTCTCGGACGACGGGCTTCTGCTCGAAGCGGCGCGGTGCCGGTGCCGGCGACGTGGCCTACAGCGTCTCGCGCGAGGCGCAGCTCAGCGTCCCCACCAAGCAGCTCTTCCCAGGTGCGGCGCGGGGGGGAGGGGGGAGGGAGGGGGGGCAGCAGGAGGAGGGGGCGGGAGGGTTGGAGCAGGAGGAGGTGGGGGAGGGAGGGGGGCAGCAGGAGGAGGTGGGGGAGGGAGGGTGGGAGCAGGAGGGGGGGCAGGAGGAGGTGGGGGAGGGAGGGTAGGAGCAGGAGGAGGTGGGGGAGGGAGGGTGGGAGCAGGGGTGGGGCGGGTGAGAGCAAGAGTAGGTGGGGGAGGGTGGGAGCAGGAGTAGGGGGGGGTTGGGCGAGGGATGGTGGGAGCAGGAGGGGGGGGGGCAGGAGGAGGTGGGGGAGGGGGGATGGGGGAGGGAGGGGGGATGGGAGCAGCAGGAGGTGGGGGAGAATGATCGCAAAGCAACAGGAAATGCATCCCATGGCGCTTTAAAATTTAAAAGCAGGCAGCCGTTCAAGTCGTCGCAGGGAAGTTCTCCCAAATACATGTTTGTTTATCTCTAAGATCCGACTCAAATGAGCACAGAGGAGGCCCTCAACCTCAAGTTTACAGCTCTCCACCAGTGGTGGAAATTCCACGTTTCTATGGCGGGGGCGAGCACTGGCTCTGCCTCCAGTACCAATAACAGATTCACTTCAACGTTGATCCACTGCAATTCACAGAGCAGGAGCATGACACGAGCCCCCCCCCCCACCATCCCCCGCACCCTATCATCGCCACGTCACAAGCGGTGATGTTGTCGTGTCGCACCATGCGGTCAGACGCACAAGAATGAACGACCTCATCACATTGTCTCCATCACGCAACCGTCGCGCCGTCGATGAACCGCGCAAAGCAATCAGCAAAGCAATTCTATCTCACGGGTACATTCACGACTGATGTGCACCTTCGATTGGTGCATACTTCTGGCATTTAAAAAAGAAAATATTTTTTGTCAGGGAACAAAAATAAAAACGAAGAATAAAAAAACCTCGGTTGTCTCGATCGAGCAAGATTTTGTGATTCGATCCGACACGAGGGCGTCATGTCGTACGATGCATCGTTCCGGAATTCCTTGAGGGGCCAGGTCACTCGGCGGATTGGTGCCAATGTCAGAGGCAATCCCGAGCCAAGCCGACTGAGATCTTGGATTCGAATCCCAAGGTTTCTCCCATCGGTGAGCGGTGATGGTCAGGGTCACCCATTGCTGCAACACAGCTACGAGAAATGAACACCCTCCCTCGCGAAATTGAATTAATATGTGTTTGTTCTACTTAATTCAGTTGATTTATTGGCCCGAGGAAAACAGTTTCTTGGTCAAATTCTCACTCCCGAGACTTCCAAATGGAAATGCATTCGTTTTGAGACGCGATGCCAATAGCACACGCATGGAATAAATACGTACACATGTGAAATGTATAAATTTTCATGGCAGCAAAAGTGTGATGCCTGTACGAGGCAGTAGAGCAAGTAGGTGTACAGGATATGCTTGCAATGGGGTTGGAGAGTTCTCAACCATATGCATAGGCTTTCTCTGGGCAATGCGTTTTGTTCCCATCATCATTATCATCAACCATGATCAATCCGCTGCTGGATGAAGGTCTTCCCAAGCAGTTGCCACCGCCAACGGTTCTGCGTTCTCACAAATCCCTGCGCTGATTTTCATTGCTTGAATAACGGTTACAGGTATTCGTTTTGTACGGATTAATAATAACAATGAATGGAGGTAGCTGGGTGAGTCAAGGTAGTTTCTATCGGCCGTGGTCAGGTACACTCGCCAAACACTGCTGCGGTTATACGCCGTGTGTGATGAAAGCGAAACTCATGTGTGGTGAGTTTACTGTCTAAACCCAGTCACCGATGACTGCACAAAAGCACCCCCCAATCCTAACTTATTATATTTAACAATTCATTCTGATCCATATCCATCGCTGGCACGATCAACTGATTGGAAAGCTTCCCTCTTCAGGCCCAATGGTGTGTTGTTTTCCATTGTGAAATTCAGTCTTCCATAAGCACTCCATCTTCCTCTTGATAAAATCTGTATTTCTTCACATTAATCCGGAAATGCTTTCAAAAGTTGCCCAAGGTGTGCGTGTGTATATATATATATACGCGTATTATACAGCTGTGTGTGCAAATTGTGTCCCTCCGACAATTATTGTATTCTGACGAGCAAGCTCTTGTTGTACATGGAAATCAACAAAGTGGAACAGACGCCGAAAAGTTACGCAAAGAAGAGTGAACAGATTATTAATTATTGGAAATAGAAAGAGGAGAAAACGAATCTTGCGACGAAACGCAACTGGGAGACATCGTTATGACGACGACGGGGAATGAGTGAGCTTCGACAGGGAACGTCACTGGTAGAAACGATGGCCGATGGGTCGAGACTGGCGATGGAACAGCAGCCCAAGAACGAACGCGTCCAGATAGCTGACGGAGCGGTTGAGATGAGTTGACGCGAGGGCTGTGGATGGTCGTAGCATCGCAGGAGCATGGGTTGATGCGATGGCATGCGGGAGACTATCCAGCAGTAGATAGACAATGACTGCTGTTACTGATGATGATGATCAACACTTCATTCAACATAGCTGCTCCATTTGAAGATGATCGATTGTAGACATTGGGTGATGGAAACCATGAGCGATGGGATTCGCCAGGCCCGTGATGCGTTGTGCTAACCAGAATCAGGATATTTATTTATTTATCACAGATGTCCAGTCGGGGCGGGTAAGAATGTTACAACAGCAAACGTTACACAAACACGACAGTCGTGCAAAGTACAAGAAAGGTGAACAAATCAGTCAAAGACAAGCACAATACATCTCAAACACCCCGATCCTACCATACAAAGCCCACTGAGGTATGAACTTGTTAATTTTTTAAAAAAGCGACCTAACCACAAAGGATAGCTCGACAAAGGGGCTTGTATAGCAGCAGCAACAACAGTCTAAACAGTCTAGACGCGTGGATGGCTTCTACATGCGCCACGGCTCCTGAGGAACCGAACGAATCAATCGTGCACGTGCGTGTATGCGGCCGTTGAACTTCTTTCGCACCCCACGTAGCCAACCGTGCTGATTGGAGGAACAGCGGTGTGCGCGTGTCTTCTCGTGCGTTGCAGCGACCCCGGGTGACGTGCTTCGACTTTCGCATAACAAAGGCTCAGTCCTAGCAGCAGCCTCGGCCGCACCAACCTTATCATAATAAAAATTAACCCGTAAAAACAAAGTTTTTCACTCTAAATCCTTTATATGCGTGGCGGCTAGAGTCCTCTCGTCCTCTGGCTTGAGATGGCTGCCACCTATGGGTCAGATGATTGTCTGCCAGCATTAAGCAATTGGTAATTAAATATTTTAAAAAATTTCACGAAAATTTATTGTCACGCACAACGAATCTGTGTGGGAAATGTCAGCTCGATTGGATCACGGGAAGTGGGTTAAAAAACGACCGAGAGATTTGCACGGTCGTAAGCAAGCAAGCAAGCACGCAAGCGAACTTAATATAAAGGATAAACAAAAAAACTCCTATCCAGGGGCCTACTCTGGCTCCTCCCACCTCAACCAGTATATATACAAGGTCGGGTCTCTTGGAATTTCTCTTTACTTGATACAGCAATCGTGCTGTGACGGTTCCACCTGAAGACGGAAGCTTGTGTTGCCTCCGAAACGTCGTGATTTTATTTTACTTTTATTAATTTTAATTAAATTTTTTTACCAACGTGACTTTACCGAAAAAAACTAAGAGTATTTCGCAGAGAAAGTCGGTACAGTAAGATTCTTCTAAACGAAACACACGGAGGCGCGCTCTGGGACATGGTTGGGGTTTTTTTTTTTGGAGCTCGAAATTAAACTTGTAAGAGTTGCGTGTACTCCTGAAACATGGCAGGAAATGTTTTGGGCACCTCAGCCTCTGCCAAGAAAACTTTTGCCAAAGTTGTTTCAAAATTATTTATAACTATTACTACGAAACGTGTGCGCAGAGGAATGTTACAACCACGGGGGAGTTTGTAAAGAGAAATCCGTGTAAAGAGATCTGCAGGTGGGGCTGTTGGATTCGCGTTGCAGTAGCGAGCACATGTCTCTGCGTGGACTTGTGAGCAGACAGATTCCACGTTCATCTTCTTGGTTCTTTCGGTAAAGTCACGTAGAAGGGAAATAATAAAATAATAAAAATAAAACATAATTAAATAATTCTCACGACGTTTCGGCCACAACGCAAGCAGCCGTCATTCAGACGCTGTCTTCCCTACAGATCTGTTCTTCACCTGAGGACGGCTGCTTGCGTTGTGGCCGAAACGTCGGGAGAATTATTTTATTGTTTTACTTTTATTATTTTATCACTTCCCTTCTACGTGACTTTTCCGAAAGAACCAAGAAGATGAATCCCTGCAGTCACGAAAGCTTTAAATCGAAAGATTCCACGTTGATTATAATTCATCATTATAATGAGCATCATTGTTATGACATCGGTGTATGACTTAAAAAGTCCTTTTAATTTTATTGAGAATTTACGGAACTCAAGTAAGCAGACGATACTCCTCCTCCACGTGCTCTATGTCTCTCCACATGAATAAAAGTAAGTTTACGTGTTCCATCAGCCACACGTCCTTCTGGGAGCGCGTAAAACAAATGACAGCTCAACGAAGTGGCTTATCACGTGGTAATGTATAACAGCCAAATACTCTAAACGTGTGTTTCTTAATTTGGAGGAAAAAACCGGAGGACCCAGATTTTTTTTTCCCACGCGACGACGGGGAGAGGAACATGCAAACTCCAAATATACACACTTCAGGGTCGGGATCGAACCCACAATCTCTTGCGTACAAGGCGAGGTAGTTAATATCTCGTCACCGAAGCAAGATGTAAAGTGTCGGTGACATTTGACTGAAATCGCTGAGATTTTGGGTTCAAGTCACTCAATCGCCCGCCCAATCATCACTCACCCGCAACAACATCAACAACCAATCGCCACTAAGTGGCGGTGACGTCACCATGACGCCCGTGCCAGGGTATGTGCACGTTGAGGCCACGTGAAGTGTCGGA